AGACCAAAGTCATCAGGCTTGTCCCTGGGGACTTCCTAAGTGTGCCCTTCCCCACAATAGCTCTTATTAGAGGAATATTTGCTTCCCTCTACCATTCAACAGCTGACAGGAGATGAAGCCAAGTCTGAAGACCATTTCAGGTCTATATCCTGGACATAAGTGGGCATCACTCCTCCTATATCCTGTGGCTGAATTCAGAAAAATACCTGAAAATAGCCTGAAGAAATAGCTAAGATATGGAACCAACCCAGATGCCCCTCAGTGGATGAATGGGTCAAGAAAATGTGGTAATATATATAAATATATATATATATATATATAAATTCTATGCTACTATCAGAAAGAATGATACTGGCCCATGTGTTAGGAAATGGAAAGACTTGGAAAAAATCATATTTAGTAAGCCAGATCCAAAGAAACATAGGTCCCATGTTTTCCCTTATTTCCCTTATTAGTATATGTCCAGGATAATTTTATAATATGAGCAGAATAGCTCAATAGGTATGTACATATGACCCTATAAGATGATGCTAAGCAAAATGAACTCCAAGACATGGACACAAGAGGTTTTCCTTTGTTGTTGTTTTTAATGTACTATGTGATTTCTTGAGTCTTTTGTATGTTCTTCCCACTATGGTGTATCCCTTGTTGTCACTGTATTTGATTTTGGTACCCTGGTATTGTATATACGTTTATTTCAATTAGGGAAGAGAAGGGGAACAACAGAATCGTGAGACAAAGGATGAGGGGGAAGCCCTGCAACAGTGATGTACACAAGACAATGTTTTGGAAACAAACTGTACGACTTGGAAGGGGAAGGAAAGTAGGAGAGAACTGAGGGAAGGGGTAACAAGTACTTATTACCTTACTTATGTAACTGTAACCCCTCTACACATCACCTACACAATAAAAAAAAGAAAAATACCCGTATTCACAGTGTACTAGGAGGGATTTCTGAATCTGGAGTAGGCAATGACATCTACCAGCCTACCACCTGCCAGTCGTTCCTCCAATTCCAATCCCCCTAGGCCTAGACTGAATCTCAAAGCAAAGAATATTTCTAGATTGCTGACAAGTTGTTGTTGGGGTACAAGATGGGGAGCTCTTTTCCCACCATCTGTTGGCATTAGTCTCCCTAATTCTTAAAAAAAAAAAATCTTTAGATTGTTTTCCATTGAACAAAATCCATTATTATCTATTTAGTTAGTTTGTAACTCCATTCATATTTATTGAGTAATCCTTATATAACAAAGATATTGTTGATAATTAGGGGATTATAAAGTACAGTTTCTATCTGTAAAGCTCTGAGGTTTTCAGATAAACATAAACAAGATGCAAATATTAATTCAATATAAGAATTTAGGCAAGACATCATTGTCTCACATCTGTAATCCTAGCTACTGAGGAAACTGAGATTTGGGCGTTGTGGTTTAAAAATCAGCCTAGGCAGACAAATCTGAGACTTGTTATGTCCAACTAACCAACAAAAACCTGGAAGTGAAAGTATAGCTCAAGTTATGCAACCCTAGCCTTGAATTTAAAAAAAAAAGCCAAGAAAATGCAAAGGCCCCAAGTTCAACCCCAAATTCTCCCTCCCACCCCCCTTTCCTTCTCTTTCTCTCTCACTCTTCCTCTCATTCTTTCCATGTCTCTATCTCTCTCTCTCTCACACACACACACACACACAAAGAATCTAGCAGTGCATTCATAATTAACATACTGGATTTACTTTCTTTAGTAGATTGAAGAATCTATTTTGGGCAAATGAGACTTTAGAACTGCTCTGACTCAGATTGGAATTGTTTTACTAAGGCTAATCTTCATAAGTACTATTTCAAAATAGTACTTAATACCAAATGCTAGATAGCAAAGCTCAAAAGAAATACTTTTTAACAAGTATTTGTTATATAGAAGAAAAGTATAATTTCTGAACTGAAATGTGAAAATGTAGAAAATAAAGTTTGTTCTGTGATATTTATTCCACATTGCCTAATAACTACAATTATGCTTTTCACTAGGAAGGGTTTTTAATGAAGTCATTCAAGTATAATAATACCAGAAGCTCCTGGGAATGTAATTATCTGGCTTGTTTTGAATCAGGCTGTCTGCAGTTTGTCTAGTGTTCTAATAAGCTCTACAGGGATTACAGACAGTTAATATATGAATTGTAAAACCCTGGTCAGCCTAAGGAAAAAAGACAAACTCATGTGGTCTTTCACAAAACTGTCAAATATTATTCACCAGCAAAGCTAGTGTAGGCTCAAGATATACAGTTCAATGATGTCAGGTTTTTGTCAGCACAAACTTCACATGTGAACTTTCCTAACAGATTTTTGAGAAGGTAATTCATCTTCCATACCTAAGAAAATACAGAAAAACATTACTACAAGATTTTGACAAACATCCTAGGTAGTAAAATCTGTAACCTTTAAGTTATTTCAGAAAGAAGTTTTCATTTTTTCCCTACAAACTTTTCCATGTATATTAAAGTTAACCCCTCATTTGTAATTGAGTCTATCCACTCTTCAGTATTTAACATGAATTCTGATGTCTAGACTAGCTTTCTGGGGATAAACTCTGAAGATGTTTCCATTTTAAAGCTCTAAATTCAGTAAACAAAAATATATAGTTCTCAAATGGATGGAATGTCAAAATAAAGCATATATAAATATAAAAATTGTTTTCCATTATTTTACATATTACTTATTTTATATGTATTTATAATATATTACACACGTTATATATTTATCTAATCTATAATGTGATATATAATACAAATATAATCATATGTAATAGTACATATAATATAGCTATATCTGTTGTTTTATAATATAATCAAAATATTGTGGATATATATTTATTTTTTTAATTTTATATATGATATATCACTCTGTAAAATGAAAAACCTCAATCTTTATTTTGATGTAGAAGGCAAATACAAATCTAAGACAATAAGGTAATCAGTTTCCTCAGGAGGAAAAATAGTTTTCTATTTAGGAAGGCAATGTGGTAGAGGGGGTGAATTTCTTCACATTGCATTGTGAGTATTCATGAGAACATCACAATAAAACTTCGTTACAAATGTATTCAAATTCAAAAATGATAAAAAGTGAGAAAAGTTTACTAATGGACCTAAACTGTATTTACTCTTATAATGAAACCTACCTATATAAAGGTGGCCAAAAGTGTTTTTATGAAGTAAATTTTTTATGAAGTCCAGATAAAGCAACCATGTGGCACAGATGGACCTTTTTCCAACATGTATTCCCAGGACAAATGATTCCTCGTCATCTGCCACAATTAAGTACTAACACTCATAATTTTCATAAACATCAACATATCCTATCTCCATCCAAATTCTTTTCCTATCATTCTTCCCATATTAGTTTCTCTTTTGAGATGAACAGCTCATGACTACCATCCATTTGTTTCTGACTGTGATTTAGGAAAGGCTGTTACAAAAAGTTCCATGTGAGCTTGGGTCATCTGTGACCCTTCCAAGGAGCCACATCCTGCCTGAGATCTCAGGACTCTCTTTGATAGACACCAAGCACTGGAGCAAAGCTGCCATAGCCTGGATGGCACTTCCAGGGTTCCATGTTAAAGTCTTTATCACAATGTCAGTGGAGAGTCACCATGGCAACAGCACTGTATTTCCAAGCTGACTGAGAACCTAATCCCATTCAAACCTCTGAAGGTATATCTAGTGACAGAATAATTCTAAAAACTATTCGAAAGCAGAGAATTTTGAAGACCTAATGCTGCTTTTGAGGTATCATGTAGTCTCTAAAGTCCAAAGAACAATTTTAAAGGGAGAATGGAGACTTTATGTCACTTTCTCACTTGGAAAGTAAGTAATTCTCAAAACACCTATCATATTATACAGTACACCTTATTGGATAGAAAACAATTTGTCTACATTCAGCTTTAAACTGAAAATATGAACTTGGGAGATACAAACTACAAAGAGAAAATAAGTGCATTAAATAAGCACAGATTTATTTTACTAAAGGGAATAAAAATGAATAAAAAGTAATGGCTGGATATTTACTAGATTAAATGTCCATTGAGGAAGCTTTTACATTCTACCCCAAATTAAACAATGTATCCATTATATGTTTAGATTTATTTTATTATCTTTAAGGAAGTATTCTTAACATTTTACAAATCTCCAGACTCAGAACAGTTTTCAGCAGTGGGTATAGTAATAACAGCAATAAATACACAGAAACATGAGACTTCTCTGATGAGAGAGTATGGGAAAGAAATAATTGGAAATAAGAGGGCAAAATATCAACTCTAGATCTGAAGGGGACATTAATACAAATTCTTTGACAATGTCATTCCATGGAGAAATGAGTAACCCATATCTTATAAATGGAACTGTGACTTTGAGCTTCACCTCTTTGGGGAAATTTAAGGGACATTATTCAACCTACAGATGCCTAAAACCCTACACTATGTATGGATGCCAGAAGATTTTTCAGAGTGACCTGAAAGTGATTGCCAAAGCACACACATGCTTTTCTTCCTCAACATTTGTGGTCTTAGTGGCATATTAAATAGATTATAAAAGGGTACAATCCCTATACAACTGCATAAAGTCATAAAAATCGATTCTAAAAAGTCTATGATCATATGTATTCAAAAATACATATAGATGTGCTTTAGTAAAATTGACAATTGACATTTTTGCCTTTAAGATATCCAAAGTACATACAAAGGATCCACAAATGTTAACCATTTGTAACCAAAATTATCTAGGTTTACATTTGCAAAAACTTGTGTTGGCTTTCAATTTAAAAATTTAAGAAAGTTGTATAGTTGTTGATGGATTCTCACTTGGAGTGGGGCTAACAAAAGTAAATGGCTTCATCTTTTAACCAGGAAACTTGTGAGCCACTCACAAATGAGAAGTCACATTCTTTTGATCACTAGAAAAGATAAGTTGCCTAAAATTCCCAATTAAAAAAACCAGCATGTGCAGTGTTTAAAGAAAAAAAGTTTTCTTCTAAAATCAAACAAGAAGTTCTAGGAAAGCCCTTGGGAAATGTATTCTCCTTTTCTCCACACACAAATGACTAAAATAACTTGTATACCTGGGTTGTACACCTACATAGGTTTGTGTATTTCATTTACCAAGTTGAGGAATGGAACAGTTTTAAAGGTGGAAAAATATACATACTTGAAATATTGAAGAGGAGGAGGAACATTTTTGCTATACAGTTTCTAAAGTCATTCCAACACAAACAATGTATCGATGTATGCTGAATTCAAAAACAGGATTAAAACACAGAAAAAGAAATGCAACATGCAAAATTCATTGTTCCAACATGAAACACTAGATCTATTATTTTTAATAAAAACTGCACATCTGTTTACTTGGCTAACAGAGATAATGTACACTGAAGAAAAATGTTATTATATCCTTCTAATAATGCAATCTGTATCAAAGGCACTTCCACAGAGCACTAACTCCTCATTGTTTCCCAAATCATTTTCATTCATGTTACTTTAATCTATATTTTTTTGTGTGTCATACCAATAAAAAAAACTTCTAATTGTGAGCCTTATCACTACTACTAAAAAAAACAAAAAGTCTATGTATTATCCATTTATGTTTTCCATGGTTTGAGTAATATAAATCAAACATGTGCCCTAAGTCTTTAAGTTCTTTGGGTTAACAAAGGAGATTTCAGAAGTAATTATAGGAAAATATTGACTGAAGTCTATCATTTCAATTTTATCTACAATTTTACTAAAGCAAGTGTGGCTATTTGGTTCTAAACTTTCACCTTATTTGTGTGGCTTGAGTCAATATTGCTCCTATGTTGAATAGTAAGAAAATGAGAGATAAAACAATCTTATATCATCTTTTTTATCAAGGAAAAGGGAAAGATGCTTCAGATATGTGTCTTCATGAAAAATTTAGGAGAAATGGAAAGGGTTGATTTTAATTAAAAGCTTTTAGGACATATGAATAATAACTTCAGAACTGAAGACACATACAAATAGCTAATGAATGTGTTCTCATTGAATTCTTCACTATGTTGAAAAGCATATTGATACACTTTTAAATCTAGCTCAAGAAGCTGAAAGTTGAGGATGGTAGTTTGAAGCCAGCCTAAGCAGGAAAGTCTGTGAGACTCTTTAACCACCATAAAACCAGACATGGAGCTGTGGCTCAAGTGGTAGAGCATTAACCTTGAGCATTAAAAGCTCAATGGCAGTGTCCAGTCCCCGATTTCAAGTCCCAGGACCAGCACACACAAAAATAAATAAATAAAATTAAAAAATAAAGAACAAAAATTACAAAGCCAAGTGAACATAGGAAGAATTTATACTTCTCCTGAATTGAAAGCAATTTTCTCAAACATCTTACAAATGTTCCAACTTCTACCTATATAACTAATTTCCTGAAATATTTTTGAGCCTCAGGAAAACAGCATCTTTTTCTATTCATAGATGAAACTTTTTTATTTCTTTTATCTCCCCATATTTTGGTATTCATTGGAATTCGTTATCCTTATCATTTTATATCAAGTTTACTAGCCTTTAAGTGACTGAGTTATAGTTTTTTGACTAGAAGAAATACATTAAATTTGATTCTTGCCTACATGTATCAGTGAGTCTTAATATCCCAGTTTTGTTTTTCCAGATTGGTAAATTTTCTTTCTTGACAACTTGGGTTGCTTCATTTTGAGGTGGTGGGGGAGAAAAAGAAAAAGAAAAATCCTGCATCTCAACAATCATTTCTCAATATTTTTTTTAATTTCTCAAATTGCTATTTTTGTGAAGTTCATATATTTAAAGGAGCTGGTAACTCTAATGACCAAGAAACATCTTGCTCATTTTATATAGGTGTACGATTTACTTTGGGGATGATATTGCTATTTATCTCACAAAAGAAAATGTCTGGTGTTTGAAGTCTAACATAATATCAGTCCCCACATTTATCAAGTTGATATCAAGTACAGGCAGAGGGGGATGTAATTGAAGAAGAGCTTCCACTTAACATGGTAGTCATCAGGCAGACACAACATTTTTTAGAGTAACTTTAGGAATATACATCTCATTATTTTATTCTCAAGAGAATACCAATTTGGCTGACTGAGCAAACATTTTGTTAAATAATTAACATTTTGACACTATTTCACATTTTGAAAAGCTGATGCTTCAAATTCTTCACTCAAAACTAAACAAAAAGAATAAGCCAGAAAAAGCATTCTTCAGTGCCTTCCTCTCTGATTGCTAAATTACCAATTCACTATTTACTCTCCTTGAGACATGACCCAGGACCATGAGTTCACTCAGTCTCAACTTCTTCAGTTCATACTAAAATTTACATCAAGAAGCACAGACAGAGCCACCTTCGGAGTTAATTTATGGGAAGCAGTGGGCGTTCCTCCCGCTTCTTCCAGATGTTAGTCTTGCTGTCTCTTTTGGTTAGTGGTGGTGGTCGGCCCCTTTTTCTGGTGGGAGATGTAGTGGCTTCAAAATCTTCAACGGTGGTTTTTCTTGCTGGAGACTCCTCCCCAGGGTGCTCCAGGATAACTGCACTCCCTCCTCCATCCAAGATGTGCCTTAACGCCGGGTCCTCCGGAGAACAGACAGTGGTTCCACTCTCGCTGCTGCTCAGGTCTAAATCTTCCAAGTAAAGAATCTTGGGCTGATGCATGCTTTTGATGAATGTTTTCTCCCTCTCCAGCTTTCTACTCAATTGATGCTCATTCATGTCTACCCCAGAGTCAAGACTTGTGTCATTGCTCTGGGCTCTCTTTCCCTTTTTCAGGTCTATGAAGGAGTGCCTCACTTGAGCAACTGGTTTTCCATCAAGGGACACAAACCATGCTCTGGGATGTGGGGAGGGCTTTCCTTTGGACAGTTCCAAGAGAGTCTGCTCTGAAATTCCTTGAAGTTCTGATGAAAATGGAGTCATTACAACAGCTTCATTTAGTGTTCCAGGGACAGAGACAGATTCTAATAAGCTATTGGAGTATCGGCTCCAGTCGGAAGTCTGAGATGGCAAACTCTGCTGACCTTCAAGAACGATATCCTCTTCCCTAGCATCTTGGGGCTGTGCATGAGAATGCATTGGCATTTTGGGCAAAGTCTGTGTGAAGTTCTCTCTGTTTACCGGTTCCATCAATTGGCCATAGACTAACTGTCCCTTTCTTGGCAGGGTAGCTGATTTAGCAGTATGTAACTGCTCTGGAGTGGGGAAGAGGTCTGACGTTTGAAGGATGGCAATGGGCTGGCTGTATATATGCATTAGCTGCTCAGGAATGTGGGAACGTCCATACATCTCCTCCTCGTTACCTGTAAGGTACCTCTTCTCCTCTTGAGCATCACCTAATGATGACAGATTGTTGTTAATATGTTTAGGTTGTTTGGTCCCTCCAATTGGCTCCAAAGACTGTGCTGGGTTTCTTGAGTAGTTATTTTGATTGACTGATAAATATGAAACCTCTTCATTGTAGATTTTAAAATTGTCCCGAGTTTTTACCATGGAAATTCTTTCTTCTCCTTCTGCTTTTGATGGTTCCTTTTTTTGAGGGCTGTATGAGGCATTCTTGGCATTAAATATCTGTGACTTGTCCTCAGCTTTTAATGCAATTTTGACTGAACTAATGTGATTTATGTGTGTTGTTGATGTTGTCTGGTCTCTCTTGAGGACCTCAAGCTTAGTGATATTTCTATCTCTTTTTTGTGTAGTACCACACTTATCCCTAGAAGAGAAATCATGAGGTTATTTAAAGGTTATACTAGAAGACTCTTTGTTTTAAATCCCACATATGCATGTCATATATGAAGTGTTACTGTTAGGATATATATTTTGATTTTCAACATCCATATCTTAAAGACTATGCAATTTACTTTTAGAGATAAACTTTGTAATGCACAGAATATACTAAAATGATACTATAATTTGATAAAGAATATAAAGCAGTGATATTTTAATAGGGGTATGCATGTGTGTATTTGTGTGTGTGTGTGTGCACACGTGTGTGCATGTTTATACACTTAACTAATATTGATCTTACCTGCAATAACAAAGTAGTACAGCAAAAAAGCCAATGACAATGACTATCGTCCCTCCCAGTATGGCTGTAAGAAACACTGTGTGGTAGGCAGTTATGTCCTTGGGATCTTCACTTATACCTGAATTTACATGGTCCAACATAAAGAAAGAAAACATACAGAAAATATTAATTTCAGGAAAACTATTTGACTATGTCATGTCCTAGATAAGACAGACTGAATATAGATACACACTTCTATTGCTTCTTTCCCTCCCATAGCACACATTCCTGTCAGTGAAATACAATGCCCGTACCCTTTGTAAATTCATCAACTGCTTTGCTTTTACCAATGAAATGTGGACACCTTAAATGAGGTTGTATGGCATAAGTATGCTAAGTATGCTGTCATTCAAAAATGTGAACATTATATCCCACAAAGCCTCCAACCTGAGTTCTGAAATGTGGAAATATGCTAGATTAAACCAAGCTAAGCCCAGCAGAGTTTTGTTCAATCCAAAACACTCACACAAAGTAAAATGCAAACAGTGCCTGCTATGGCTAGCCACTGAGATAGAAAGAGTGTTTGCCACTGCATTAATGACTAGACTAGGCCAGAAATTTTATCTGGATGCTGAGATGCTACTATATTAAAAGACCTAAAAAATGTGACAGTAGCCAAGCAACAATCAGGAAGGATACTGCTTTTAGAAGTCAAAATGGTAACCTGTGCTATTGAAATAACCTGAGAGTGTTATCTCTAACTAATGTGAGCTGTGTTTAAAGAGGTTCTGTGATTGAAGCAATTCAGTCTGTAGTATTTTGTTATAGTAAACTGAGTAGTCTAATACAATATCCAACTTTCTCAGTTTAAAAATAAGAAAACTAATACTAAGATGAATAAGTACCTACTTCAAATTCATCTGGTTAATTATAAGCAAAGCCAGACCAACTATCAAGTCATCTTTGCTTCTAGGATAAAGTATTGCTTTAGTTGTGATCTGCTTACAGAATACATTTTTGAAATGCATCACTAGAAGGTATTGACTCACACTAAGTGTAAATTTCATGATTCTATTTTACTGCTCCGCTTCACACAAAAGCTTTTCCAACAGAATTTCAATCTGTTGTAGAAAATGACTTTGGCTTTTGTAATTCATAAAACCCATCTTATGTAAATTGGTTCTTTGAGGCATATTTTTAGTGAAAGTACACATCTCTATAAAACCCACAAGTTCCTTGGGTGATTTTTATTAAAAATGAAATAACTTAAACATTTTTCTTTTTCATCAATATTTCATTATAGGTGCCAAAACAGAATGGGATAAGGAGAGACAGCTGGCAAAACTGCATGATACTTTGCATCATTTAGAACAAAGGTGACCACTATCTGGTTTCCAAATAAATAATCTCACATGAAAAAAAAATAATCTCACATGCACAAATCCAACAGAAAAAAAGATTATCTTTCTCCATTCTATATAGCTAATGGCTCATATTTCTCCAACTGAAATACTAAATATTGGTTTTATTGAAAAAATCTAACCCTAACCTTAACCCATGTTACTTTGCATGGCTTAAAAGTCAAATGTTAGTACAAAATGAAAATAAAACTGTCATTAAAAAACTTTTTCCAGCCAGGCACTGGTGGCTCATGCCTGTCATCCTAGCAACTCAGGAAGCTGAGATCTGAGGATCATCTTAGTTCAAATGCCAGCCCAGCCTGGAAAGTTCGTGAGACTCTTATCTTCAATTGGCCACCAGAAAACTGGAAGTGGCACTGTGGTTCAAAATGGTAGAACGCTACTCTTAGGGAAAAAAGCTCAGGGACAGCACCCAGACCCTGAATTCAAGCCTCACAACTGATCCCCACCCCGCTACTACACACACACAAAAATGTTTTCCAGAAAAAAAATCAAAAGTAATACTAATAATAAAGTTATATGACACAATACGGCACAAAAACCAAACAAATAAAATGTACACTCCTGGCCTGGGAATATAGCTTAGTGGTGGATTGCTTGCCCTAGCGTGCATGAAGCCCTGGGTTCGATTCCTCAGTACCACAGAAAAAGCCAGAAGTGGCACTGTGGCTAAAGTGGTAGAACGCTAGCCTTCAGCAAAAAAGAAGCTCAGGGACAGTGCTCAGGCCCCGAGTTGAAGCTCCAGGACTGGCAAAAAAAAAAAAAAGTATACTCCTAAATTATACTGGGAATTTATCTTTTTGAATTTTTTAAAATTTTCTTTAAGTAGCTCTCCAAAATAACTGCCATTAAACAAAACATCCTGATCTTTTTGTATGTTTGTTTGCATTTGGTTGTTTTCACACAAGTTTATACTATGTAGCCCAGACTGGCATTAAGCTTGTGATCCTCCTGCCTCAGTTTCCTGAGTATGGGGAACAAAGGTGTGCACCACTGTGCTGGGTGAGACTATTTTTGACCAGCATGAATTAGGCAGGTAAGAGCTGCCCCTTACCTGGCAGCAAAAGCACTGAAACAGAAAAAGAATCATCTCTGACATGATGAGGATGGAGGAAGGCTATGAACACTCAACTTCCACTCCCAAACCTTCACTAAAACTAAAAGTTTTGCTTCGTTTTTATTTTGTACATACACAAACAATGAGACAGAAAGTTGAAAACCAAGAAACACTTCAATTTGTGCCAGCAAACACCAGAAGACCAAGAAACTAGTAGCAGGATAACAAACCAACCAGTCTAGTTTAGAGGAGATTTCTTTCTTCATTAAGATTTAATGGAGAAAATACATCATGTTTAGTTTTTTTAAAGAAATTTACTGAGTAAGATCAATGTAGGTTTCTCTATGTTTGCATTAGCTAAATAATTTGAAAACACTAACTATGAAAACAAAAATACTCATTTCTTTAGGAATATGTACAGATCTCTTGTATTGGACATCACCTCCCACTCACCATCTGTTGAAAACATCATTTCCATTTATGTTTGGCATATCACCTATCTTATTGTCCGGACATACTATTATCCAAGAGTTTTTCCTTCTTCAGACTACTCAAGACCCAAGTATGGGCCAACCAGTCTTCATCTGTAGAATGTTCTATCACTGTTTGAGAAAAATACTTGAAAGGGCTGGAGTCGGCCATAACATAGCAGCCACATGGCAAAGACAGTCAAGTCTTACCTACCTACCCAGACCCTCTGGAGCTGCAGAGATTCCTGCCTCCGGCTCCTGCTTCTTAGTCCTTCCTCCCTATATCCCCATATCTCTTTCACCTTTATAGAAATTATCCAAAATGTTTCTGTTGCTTGTAACCAAACACTATAAAGGATCTGGATAGAATTTACCCATGGAAAAAGGAACGCTAAAAAAATATTCGTGTTGAACAAAATTCATGCTTCACACGTTTATCAGACATTATCTACCTTATATCGTAGAGTTCATGGACCTTAATCTTTTCTTGTACACATGAACTCAGAAAAGAAAAATCGGAGAGAAAAGGATGAGATGTTCTTTCCAGAGTCATGCAGCTAGTAAGTATATGCTATTTTTTTTTCTTTTAGGAGACTTGAATTTATTACACCAGCAGGCCCTGAGGAGTTCCTCCTCCAAACTCTGAGAACGCTCTTGACTGAATAACAAGGTTAGATAGTGGGGTAGGGCTACCAGGGCGATGCTGGTTGCCAATAGGTAAGTTTAAACTAGGGGAGGAGGTTGCATAAGGAGGAACAAGTTAGGGTGGTACCGGAAGCTCGGAAGCTCCAGGCAGAAGGCCTGTTTATAGGAGGCGATCCCAGGATGTGGTGGTATGTAAGAATTTTACAGCCCTTACATTGATTACAGTTTGTTTACAAAGGATCAGGTGGTGATTAATCTCCACCTGGGGCAGTTAGTGCTATGAGGTCAATTGTCCAGGTATTCCAGAATAGTCACACCCTGGAATTGACCATTCAGAGAATCCTTTCTCAATTCAGGTTTCTGTGCCTAGTGTCAGCCAACATCCTTGACATTCCCCCCTTTTGATACCTTTTGTAGCAAGAATGAGCATGAATCTTCTGTGAGATTCATCATATTAAGTCTGGAGCATCTGCACTTTGATGGCCTTAGCATACATTTAAAATAAGATAAAACAGAAACCAATTGATAATTCTAGAATGGTATCTGAATTGTTTTTAATTACTGAGTTTCATTTTCACAGTACCTCTAGATCCTGGAAGTGGAGCTGCTATCCAGTATCCCAGATGTGGTGCATCGTAAGTCCAAACTAAGTGATTGTTATGTTCTTTGACCACTCCCCAGCCATGATTTACCCAAGCACCTTAAAAGAAAGGTAAGTAAAAAACAAATAAAAATGTTAGTTATGCATTTTAAACACTAATAGGGGTTTCTGATAACCCATTGAATAATAATTAGTAGTAAAAAAAAAAAAAAGATACTAGATCTAACCTGCACCATCTGGGATAAGGAATTGAGTTTAACTGCCACCATCTTGTCTTCATGGCTGAGGACTAAACTGAATTCCTAGAGTCAGGGGCAGGGACTTGGGCAATAGGTTACCGGGCCTATCAGTCCTGTACCTTGAACTCTGGAGACTCTCGTGCTCTCTGTGACCCTGCTCCCTGACCATGACCCTATTTAGGCCCAGACCAGTTCAGACACCAGGGTGTGCCTTACCTTGTGTCTCCTTACTCTCCTCGGGTCACTATAGCATCCCACTTCAGCTCTCCATTGGAGTTGATATAGTTTGTTGGGATTGTTTTTCTGCTCTTTCTTTGCTTTACTACTCTCATGACTCAGTTTTCTAACAGTGTTGAGTGTATTCAAGGCTGCAAGTTTTCAGGGGACATGTGTCCACCTGCAGTCACTGGCTTTTTAATAAAAGATTCCTGAGTCAACTTCTCAAAATGTGGCTTCTAAGTATGTGAGTAGTGAAGTCCTACTTCAAGTCCTGTGTTTAATTTCCAGAGCCACCACAACCAAATATATACATAAAGACATACAAATACTGATTCATTAACAAATGATTATCTGTCTTTTGTGCTGGGATTGTGAAAAAATACTTCCAATATATGTCTTGTGACCTTATTGGGTTATTAAACATTATAATAATATAAGTATGGTATTTCAGGACTAATTTTTTTGTCAGTCATGGGGCCTGAACTCTGGGCCTCAGCACTGTCCCACTACCACTTGAGCCACAGCACCACTTCCAACTTTTTCTGCTCATATGGTGCTGAGGAATGGAACCAGGGCCTCAGGCATGCAAGGCAAGCACTCTACCACTGGGCCACCTTCCCAGCCCTGGGCTAAAATTTTTAAACTTAAAAGAATGCTATCTGTTCCAATAAAAATTTACCATCTTTAGAGAAAAGTTTATTTTTAAAGAGCTTATACGTATAAACACTATAGATAAGTTTTGTGTATATTTTTTTTTGTTGTATCAAATTATGTATTTCAAGTACAAAAGTAGTATTTTACTTGTGTTTATAATTGATATATGTATTTGTAGGGAAGAGTATGATAATTTGATAGTTGAATGGAATATCTAATATGAAAATCAGGGCATTTGGCATTTATATTTATATTTTTCCTAACATTTATGATTTTATGTGTTGAGAAGCTTTTTTTTTTTTTAACTCAAGGCTAATGCTCTACCACTTGAGCCATAGCTCCATTTCTGGCTATTAGGTGGCTAACTGGAGATAAGTGTCCCGTGGACTTTCCTGTCTGGATTGTCTTCAAACAATTATCCTCAGATCTCTTCTTCCAGAGTAATTAGGATTATAGGTATGAGCCACTATGCCAGTACTAGTTTTTTGTTTTTGAGGGGTTTTTTTCCTCTCTTACTTAGTCTCCTCAGCAAACCTACTAGGTATTGTTATTCTATTACAGATGAGAAGATTGACATGTTATAATAGCTCATTTGCTTTGTGAAGGCTCACAGATGGCCAGAACAGGGCCTAGACATTTAAGAGCACATGTTCTTCCTTCCTACTTCTGTGTTTACGAGTTAGTGCTTTATGTTGTGTGTGAAATATAACCCAAAAGCTCATGTGTTATAAACTTGGTCCCTAGCATGGTATTACTGGGAAGTGGTGAGGCCTTTAAAAGCTATGGCTACAGGAAGGTCTTTAGTCATTTGAGGAATGCCCTCCAAGGGGATTTCAGGACCCCAATCCCGTGTTCTTCCTCCTCTTTGCTTCCTAGCCATGCAGTGGGTGCTTTTGCTCCTCCACAAAGCTCTCATCCTGATGTGCTGTATCACCACAAGGCTAAAACAAAAGGGCCAACAAAATCGTGGATTGAAACTTCTAAAATTGTGAGCCCAAGCAACTTTTTTTTTTTTTTGCAAGGTTGTGGAGGAAAGAAAGACCCTATGTTTGGGACTATGCTGCTGCTGCTGCTGCTTCTTTCTTTCCCCCTCCTCCTCCTCCTCCTCCTCCTCCTCTTCCCCTTTTCTTCTTCCTCCTTTTCTTCTTCCTCCTCATCTTCCTCTTCATCCGTGTCTTCTTCTTCTGTCTTCTTCCCTCCTCCTTCTCCTTCTCCTCCTCTTCCTTCTACTTTATATTTCTTTATATTTAAAGGTATGTTATTTTGTGCAAATGTCTATATCTGAATTCTTTTATCTAAGATCAGAGATTAATATCTTTTATTTACACAATAAATGTGAGAATCTTTTAACTTGTCTAGTTCTTTTGATTTTTATCATAAACTATAGACAAGTTTCCTTACTATGCTATAGAACTCTAGAACTAATTCCTCCTGTCTATTGTTGATATCTCTATTCCCATATTTATCTCAGCATTATTCACAATAGCTAAGATACTGAATTAGCCAGAGTGTCCATTGACGGATGAATGGGTAAAGAAAATATACACGATTATTATTCAACCATAAAGGGATGAAATCTTGTCATGTGCAGAGAAATTGTCCAAATAGTTGTTTTTGTTAATAAGATAGAGAAAGTTGGAATGATGAAAATGACTCAAGTGTCTGCCTTCAAATAGACACCAACTGCGTATATATCAATTCAAATAGTTTGCTACTGGAAGTTCTTTAAAAACAGGCAACAACCATTTAAGACTCAGACAACTCATATTCTTCAGTGAATCCAAGGGCTATTTCTGTGGCTACCAGAAAAAAGGACTCTTTTTGTCTCTAGCCTTCAACCTAGGTAAATATGCAGTAATATAGGAAGATGCTTACGTAGAGGGAAAAGATTATGTGCAAGGGGAAAACGAGCCCTGAATAATCATCAAGGCTCTGTAGCAGACCTGCCCAAGGCAGCTCTACACAGGGGCTGTTCAGCTATGGACTCATTACCGCCCCCCCACACACACCCTCCACACACACTTCTAGACTCATTACCACCCCCCCCCACACACACACACCCTCCACGCACACATCTTTTTTTCTTCTGGTAACTTAGACTCCCCCTTGTTTACATGAGAACATACACAAGGGAATCTGAGTGGGGAAGTGCTGGTGTACTTGCTTCAAGGAACTAGAACACAGGAAAAAATATTGGTGCCTCAAGTTGTTTGGGGAAAAGAATAACTCTTCTTGTTTTTAATAAAACACTGTTATTTACTTTCATGAAACTGACACTTCTCAACAAGCTTTTAGGTAAGCTCATATGACCTACTAAAAACTCCTGAGCATAAATAAAAACTTTTGTATGTCAGTACTGGGGTTTAAACTCAAAGCTTTGTACTCTCAATTGGCTTTTTCTCTCAAGACTGCTGCTCTACCATTTGAGCCCACACCTCCAGTTCTGGCTCTTTGCTGGTTAATTAAAGATAAATGGAAAGACTTGGAAAAAATGATATTAAGTGAAGTAAGCCAGGCCAGGCCCAAAGAAACATAGGTCCCATGGTTTCCCTTATTTACAATAACTAGTATATGTCTGAGACAAGCAGAAAAGGTCAGATAAGTTGATGTTAGGTGAAATGAACCCCAAGATAAGGATTCAAATGTTTTTTCTTTCTTGTGATTGTTTCTAACATATTTATAAGATGATTTCTTTGTTGCTTTGTATGTCCCTCCCCCATGGTATAACCCCTGCTTTCATTGTATTTGTTGTTGGTATAATTTGTGGAGGGAAAGGAAAAAAAAAACGTTTAAGTATGGATACAGGTGGACCCATTGCAACAATGAGATGTACAAGACGTTAGGTTGAAAAACGAACTTTACAACTTTGGCTGGGGGGAAGAGGGGACAGGAGATGGGGGGAGATGGGAAGGGTTGGGAAGGGGAAACAAAAGAGGAGGCAACAATGCTTGATAAGAAATGTATTCATTACCTTGCTCATGTAATTGTAACCCCACTGTACGGTACTTTCACAATAAAAAAAAGAATCTCACAGACTTTTCTCCCCAAACTGGTATCAAATCAGGATCCTTGGACCTCAGCCTCCTGAGTAGCTAAGATTATAGGCATGAACCATCAGTCTCTGGCTTTTGTTAATTTTTTTTTCTCTTTATTTTTTTATTGTCAAGATGATGTATAGAGGGGTTACAGTTCCATAAGTAAGATAGTAAGTACATTTTTGTCAAACTTGTTTCCCCTTCCCTCAATTTTCTCCTACTTTCCCTCCTCCCCAACCCCCCCCAAGTTGTACAGATCATTTCCAACATACTGTCTTATGAATATCGCTGTTGCATTGGTTCCCCCTTGACCGTTGTCTCACCATTCTGCTGTTCCCCTTCCCTTCCCTAATTCAGATGGACGTATATACAATGCCAGGGCACCAAAATCAAATACAGTGACAACCGGGGATAACCATAGGGGGCAGAACACAGAAAAGAAACAAAAAAATCACATAGTACATTAAAAACAATAACCAATAAGAAACCTTCTTGTGTCCATGTCTTGGAGTTCTCTTATAAGGTCATATGTACATAGCTATTGAGCTATTCTGCTCATCTGCCAAGAATATCCTAGACATACACTAATTATTGCAAATAATTCTTTTTAATCTTTCAAAACCACTGCCTCCAAACACTGGAGGAAGGAGAGAAGCACTCCGGTGTTTCTAGAACACACATTGCCATCATTTCCCCCACTGTAATGCTAATTTACATAAAGCTAAGTTCAGTCACTAACAAAGAGCATCATATTTGTAAGGTTACTGACAAAGCACTCAAACATTCAAAAGAAAACACTCATGTTATTTTTATCTCACGAACATACCTGTGTTCATATCGAATGTCCAAGCAGGTATGCGGTCACCCCTGTGGACGTCATCCGCATGTAGGAGAGGGAGTGAGACTTGAATGGAGCCATCTACCTTTAACTCTTTCCCTCCAGAATATATTTTCACACATATTGCAGCAAGAGGAGTCAATTCAATGCTTTCAAAACCTATAAATGGGGACACAATCATGTATAAATGGAGACTGTATTTTAGGCAAGCAATTATTATGAGTCTAAAATATCTAGTTCTTCTATTTCCACAGTGTCATCCATTCTCATTTCAAATAGCTGAGAGCCATATCTAGGAATTTTTTTTTCCTTTCACACTTGTTTTTAATTGTGAAAATACTGTACAGAGGGGTTACAATTACATGAGCAAGGTAATGAGTACATTTCTTTACAAGCATTGTTGCCTCCTCCTTTGTTTCCCCTTCCCATCACTTCCCATCTTCCCTCCCTCCCCACAACTCCCCTGGGCCAAAGTTGTAAAGTTCGTTTTTTGACCTAACGTCTTGTACATCTCATTGTTGCAATAGGTCCACCTGTATCCCTATTTAAAAAATTGTTTTTTTCCCTTCCCCTCCACAAATTATACCAACATCAAATACAGTGAAAACAGGGGTTATACCATGGGGGAAGGACATACAAAGCAACAAAAAAAATCATCTTATAAATATGCTAGAAACAATAGCAAGAAAGAAAAAAGCATTTGAATCCTTATCTTGGGGTTCATTTTGCCTAACATCAACTTATCTAACCGTTTCTGCTTGTCTCAGACATATACTAGTTATTGTAAATAAGGGAAACCATGGGACCTATGTTTCTTTGGGCCTGGCTTACTTCACTTAATATAATTTTTTCCAAGTCTTTCCATTTCCTAACAAACAGGGCAATGTCATTCGTTCTGATGGAGGCATAGAATTCCAATGTGTATATATACCACATTTTCTTGATGCATTCATCTACTGAGGGGCATCTGGGTTTGTTCCATATCTTAGCTATGGTAAATAATACTGTAATAAACATAGTTGTGCTGGTAGCTTTAGTATGGTCTTATTTGTGATCATTTGAGTAAATGCCCAAAAGTGGGATTGCTGGGTCATAGGGGAGCTCTAAACTTCCTATTCTCCTGGATTGGAAGAATAAACATCGTGAAAATGACAATACTTCCCAAGGCTATCTGCAAATTTAAGGCGATACCTATCAATATTCCAGCCTCATTCTTCAAGGAAATAGAAGAAGCAATCCAAAAGTTCATATGGAACAATAAAAGACCCTGAATAGCAAAAACAATCCTTAACAGAAACAACAGTGCTGGAGAAATATCAATACCAAATTTCAAACTCTACTACAAAGCCACAGTAATCAAAACAGCGTGGTACTGGCACAAGAACAGACCTGAGAACCAATGGAATAGAATTGAAAACCCAGAAATGAACCCACAGACCTATAGCCATCTAATCTTCGATGAGGGAGCTAAAAAATAGAATGGAAGAAAGACAGCCTCTTGAGTAAATGGTGCTGGCAAAATTGGTTAATCATTTGTGGAAAACTAAAGCTAGATCCTTATATATCACCCTGCACCAGAATCAACTCCAAATGGATCAAAGACCTTGGAGTCAAAGCAGACACCCTGAAAACATTACAGGATGGAATAGGAGAAACCCTAGGCCTCCTTGGCACAAGCCCAAATTTTCTTAATAGAGACCCAGAAACACAACAAATCAAAGAAAGGTTGGACAAATGGGATTGCATGAAATTGCAGAGCTTCTGCATAGCTAGCAAGATCAATAGAAGCCCACAGATTGGGAGAAGATCTTCACTAGCCATACAACGGACAAGGGTCTCATATCTAAAATATACCTGGTGAAAACCGGAAGTGGCGCTGTAGCTCAAGTGGTAGAGCACTCGCCTTGAGCTGAAGAGCTGAGGGACAGTGCCCAGGCCCAGAGTTCAAGCCCCTCGACCAACAAAAAATAAATAAATAAATAAAATAAAATATACCTGGAACTCAAAAAATTAAATCCCCAACAACAACTCCTCAAAGAAACAACTGCCCAACAAATAAGTGAGCTAAAGACTTAAAGAGAAACTTCTCTGAAGAAGAAGGAAAGATGGCCAATAGACACATGGAGAAATGCTCAACCTCCCTAGCCATAAAAGAAATGCAAATCAAAACAACATTGAGATACCACCTCACCCCAGTTAGAATGGCTATAATCAAGAACTCTAATGACAACAGATGCTGGAGGGAATGTGGCCAGAAGGGAGCCCTACTGCATTGTTGGTGGGAGTGTAAACTTGTTCAACCATTTTGGAAAGTAATATGGAGGTTCCTCAAAAGTCTCCACATAGGAATTGTTTTTTAAACGTAACTTCAAAGTAGGTCATAGATACAAGTTAAACAAGACAGCGTTGACCAATCAGTGTGTGTGCGAGTTACTTCATTATCTCCGTCATCTCACTTAAGAACACTGGTACCCAACTCAGTATTTTTGAAAAAATATCATCAAGAAAGCACATCCATTATTTCATAGCCAAAGGCTGCACTGCACTTCACCATCAATGCAGGTACAACATCTGGCCTTTTAACTTCCCAGCAGTTCTAGAACCAATAGACACACATGCGCTCCGCATGTAGAAAGCACTCTTGTTCAAAATACAATGTTTAATGGGTAAAAATGGCAATTCCATAAAAAAAAAAAACGCTTAAAAGTATTCCAATTTGTGCTTTAAAACGTGGCATGTAGTCTCCAAAACTTATGTGAAAATTAAATTTCTAATAAGTAACTAAATATCTAAACAAATTATATCTGAGGAAAAATTTATGTGCTGATGTTTCTTATAATCATTATTACACATCAGAACACCCTTAGGAAGGAGGGGATAATAATGACTCCCAAAGATCAGGAATTATTCCCAGTTCTGTTCTCTACAATATGTGGAGCCCTGCTTTTCAAGTCTTAATCAAATTTGTGGGAAAATAATGAGTTGAATGAATTGAAAGAATGAATTTATAACATCTAAACTTTCTCTCTAAAGTAGTCAGAGAAATGCAGGAAAAGCACTGAGGCAGTATGTGTAAACACCACTACTAAACAAACCCTGCACAGAGTGTTTTTTTATTTAAACAAAGTATTACATAAAAAAGTATTTTTTATGTAAAGAAAATCAGCAGTATCTGTAAACAATTCAGATTAAATTTGTTTTGGTTCTGTAAAAAAAATTATTACACTATATAATAACTACAACGCACCTGGTTTGTTGAGAGTAATTCCAGTCGTATACAGAAAATTGTCCACTTTCAAAAACTGTTGTAGGACTGTGAGATAGCCAGTAACGTTGCTAATGTGATGGTTGTCAGGAAGTTTAATTAAGGCTTTTGAAAACTGAACACTCGGTTGAGATTTGGCATCTGGAAAAAGGAAATCTCATTAATGAATAGCTGAAACAAAGGCATGTGAAGCATTACATCATTGGTCAGGACATTTTACTTTAAAGTAGTTACAATTATTTCTAAAAGTTGTCTAATGTGTTTCTAACATTTCTAAATCTTCTCGCATGATTATGACTTTAAATTCAGAAATGAATAAGAAACTTTCCTCATTTTAGACTGAACAATGCATCTTTGCAGAAAGGTCTGCCTGAGTTTGTTGCCCAGAATATCTTCATCCTTCCTTAGATTTCACTCTAAGGGACCACACACTGACCATTTTTAGCCCCACTTGGAATTCCATTTCTGTAACCCAGTGGAGTTGACAGCATTGGCCAAAATAGGCTGAAATCCATCCAAGCATCTTACTATTATCTTAGCCAAAGTGATTTGTTCAATAATGGGCCTTGTCCCAGTTAATAAGATGTACTCTGAGTTTTCTTTGGACTTAGCAGGCACTTTCTTGTTTACTCCAATGGATTTTATCTAAGCAAGTATACAGCTAAGAGTTTCAATAACCATCTGTGACTAAAAATGAGAGCTTGTTAGAAAATGGAGAAAATGCTCAAAGCATGAAGCAGGCACAGTGGCTTGTGTTCCTGTAATCTTAGCTACTAGGCAGGTAAAGATAAGAAGGATGACAGTTCAAGGGTACCCCAGCCAAAACAGTTTGCAATACCCATCATACACAGCCAATGAAAAGCTGGGAACATGAAGGAATACTTCAAGAGGTAAAGTGCCAGCTAAGTAAGTAAGCTGAGAAAGCGTGTGATACTGCAAAACAAAGAAAGAAAATTTAAAAATCAAAAGCATCCAGACACTGGTGGCTCACATTTGTAATCCTAGCTATTCATAAGGCTGAAATCTGAAGATCGTGATTCAAAGCCAACCCAGGCAGGAAAGTCCATGAGACTCTTACCTCCAACTAACCACCAAAAAACTGAAAGTGGAGCTATGACTCAAAGTGGTAGAGTGTTAGCCTTGAGCGAAAGAGCTCAGTTACAGCTCCCTGGCCCTGAGTTCAAGCCCCATTAATAACTACAACAAAACAACAACAACAAAAAGGGGTCAAATATAGTCTAGTTTAAAATGGGAATGTCAGCTTAATGATTGTAAATAACAGCATATTTAAAAAGAAAATAAATCAGCAGGGTGCTGGTGGCTCATTCCTATAATCCTAGCTACTCAGAAGACTGAGATCTAAGGATCACAGTTCAAAGCTAGCCAGGGCAGAAAAGTAATGTGAGACTCTTATCTCCAACTAACCACTCAAAAACGGGAAGTAGAGTGGTGGCTCAAACTGGTAGAGCACTAGCTTTGAGCCAAAGAGCTCAGGGATAGTGTCCAGGTCCTGAGTTCAAACCCTAGAACTGAAAAAAATAAATAAAGGAAAGAAAAAGAAATAAAAGATACAAAAATTTCCTACAAGTGAAAACATGTGCTCTTTGCAAAACATAGTTGTGCTTCTGAAGATTTTGTACATTCCTAGAGTCATGATTTTTCCTCTTCTTTTTACTATAAGCATACTAATACATTGCTCACACTTCTATTGTATAAAATGAGCACCTTTCTGATCAAATACTTTGTGAAAGTTAAAAAGTGAAAAAGTATATGTATCATTACCACAAACATCCATCCTTTCTTACTTGCTTCTACGAATAGGTGGCCTCTTGGGAGATAAGGCAACAAAGGAAGTGACTGAGGAACTCAGAGGTCTCAGGATGTTTTCCTGGGCACCTGCCAACCTGTAACCAGTACTGTCCAGACTAATGAACACACCTCACTGCTTGGTATTGGTGGCAAAGGTGTGGCACAGACACACTCACACACATTAATCCACGTCATGCCAGCAGAAATCGTGATTTCTAACAGGGTTTGAAGAAGCCAATGAAGTGTTAAGACTATGTCAAAACAAGGCAGAATCAAATAAAGAAAATACTAATATAGAACTATGGAGAGGCAGAATTCATAAAGTCTTAGCAGCCGGAAATATGCCCTTGTGTGGGCATATGGTTCTTATTTACCATGCATCCCTTCACACACAGCTGCGCATCCTCCATTCACCAGCTAAATCAGTGGTTCAAAATTCTGCCAAAAGTCCAGACATCTCAAGATTATCTGCAGCCTCACTCAATAGATTACTCCAAAATTAATCAAGTGCTACTTCAACTTTTTCCCAAACAGTTGGAAAAACGTATTTGCAAGAGTAAAGTACTCTTAATAGTTTAGAAACAAAATGGCTTCAAAGTGAAGAGCACTTCTTCAGAAACAATTGTTTGTCAGTTGTAAAGCTATTATTGGTTAGGTGGTAAACAAGTGAGATTGCCAGAGGTTTCTTCTAAGCACCATTACGAGGCATGGGGAGGTAAAAGAATGTTTGTTCATTCCTTTGTCACCTTGGTGGCTGGTGAAGAGCAAATGGAATCAGTCCTCAAAATAAGGCTTTGTGCACTCTTTCCCTTGGGGTGTACAAACAAGGCAAATCATGGCTTCCCAACAACCACATAGCTACCCAGGGTTAGGCTTCTCCCACCAGCAGCAAGGCTAACCCAGGAAGAACGGCTCACAACTATAGCATTCCATAGGTCAGAGTGACATGAGTTCTGTCCTTTTTCACCACCTACGAATGTTCCTTGTGAGAGATGTGCTTAGACAGAAGGGCAGACAGAAGTAATTCGTGTAATTCCCGTCATCTAAAGTCAAATGTTTCCATGGCAGAGGGTAAGTGACCTAGTAAAAATGAAAACTATTTCCAGTACACAAAAAAACACATACTCTTAGAGTAGGATAAGGACCAGTTTAGATCAGCTTACAGTCAATACTAAACATCACTGATCAATTCTAATTTTTCCCAAGTTATAAATGAGATTGATTCATCTCCATAATAACCCCTATAGTGCCTAATTAAAAAGAAGAAATGCACTTACCAGCTAATTTTCCAGTAATAAGAACAGTGTCTTCAAATAGCCATATATTTGCTTGGCTTTGTGGGAACAGAGAAAGTGTAACTGATGAATAAACTGTGAAATATAACACAATTAAAATAGTTAATGTGGGGGACAACACTGGGGCAAATACAGTTCTGCTACAGAAGTTCTAAGTAATGGGTGGAGGAACGAAATGATAAAAGCAATGTAAAACAAAGGAAGAATAAATATAAAATATGATGGGGGTAAAACACAATAAAAGTTACAATTTTACTGATCTTTTCCATTTTAAATAGTAGTTGATATACCAATGTAATGAATGATGGGTTATAATGGGCCTACATATAAATAATCCTGCTGTTAGCTGCCTGAATAACTTGTTATTTTTCTATATAGTTATTTCCTATTTAGTTCTTAAGATTGTTTTGTTTTGTGCTGCTACTGAAGCTTGAACTCGGGACCTGAGCACTGTCCCTTAGCATTATTGTTTAAGGATGGTGTTCTACCTCAAGAGCTACAGCTTAACTTCCTGCTTTATTGTGGTTAACTGGAAATAAAGAGTTTCACAGACATTCCTGGCTGGGCTGGCTCTGAACTGCAATCCTCAGCTCTCAGTCTTCTGAGGATGACAGCCACCAGTGTCTGGAATGAATTTTTTTTCTTTTCTTCATTGACTCAAAGATCCTCAGGGAAGACTACATCCACTCTTCATTTTTAACTTCCCACACAGAGCACAAGACTCTTCCACAGTGTACAATTTGCCAAATGGACTTGCAGTTGGCAGAGGCAGAAACTAAAACTGTTATCCAGTCATGTTGAGTAGTAGTACAGGATGGGCTAAGCCTGCCAAGGAGAGTAGATGCCTGGAAAAACCTGTGAGACAAGGAAGTACAGATCTCCTGAAATAAGACTAAATTATTTCAAGACCAGGGCCTAGAGTTGTAACAAAAGACCATTATAACCAAGAACAAATGAAATGAACAACCCTATCAAAAACAAGTCACCAACAGCATATGTTTCCATGTGGAATTCCTCCTCTGTATATATGTAATGGTTTAGTAAATGAATAGCAATAGCACAGTATTCACAAATCTCTTAGAGGATAAAAACTTGCATAGAAGTGCATTTAGTATTTAGTATTAAAATGAGTTTTAAGGGAAAAATACTGTGTATCTGATGATGGGTGATAGTAAAATGAAATACACCTTTATTCTTTATTTCTGTAGAACAAAATGAGTTACCAAATAAAACTTGGATTTCAGAATCCAATAACATTTAGACTCATGGATTTATTTAAATTGGAGAGGAGGTGGTAGAGTCACAGCTTGGACTTCAAGATGATATATTGAATATTTTCTAAGTCACAGGTAGCTAAAAAGGAACCATCCTGACAACTTTTTAAGGCTTCAAAGCCTGTAGAGAATCTATATGAACCTCACTAAAACTTATATTCAGCTTTCTTTTCACTTAATTTTTTTCTTCCTATAAAATGGGTGTTAAATCCACTATGAAAATGTTGAAATACACAAAACAGGTTTTAAAAAACATCGTAACCATTGCAAACCACTACCAAGACAACCATTAATAATATCTTGTATAATTCTTTACTGACATTTTTTCTTATAACTTGTTTTTTGCCAGTACTGGGACCTGTATTTATTAATGTACAACAACCCACTCCTTCCTTTTGTCATTTTTTCCCTTGGTTTCTTCTTCTTTTTCTTTGAGTGAATGGTTTTGCATAATTTCTTTGTCTTTTTTTTAAAAAGTAAAGCATTTAAACCATCAATTTATGTCAAGTACATCCCTATTCTGATTTTATTCACTTTCCATCTTATTTCTTATCAAAATTTAAATAATGGCTCAAGAATTCAAATGTTCCAATATGAAACCAAATATTTGTTTCACCAAATAAGAATCCTCATAAGAAAAAAGAAAACTGGTTACCTAATATATCAACCTTCAACCAATACTTTGGTATTTTGCACAGTACATCCTTCCCAAAGTCCAATCAGCCCCTCTGCATACTACCAATGCTGCCTTCACCACATCCTTTGTATTCACCTGTACTTCCATTTCCTGTCTTACTTCAGGTGTTGTTATTGTACACAGAATCCTAATCAACTCCCTGGCCAACCTCTCCAGATCCAATTTAGCCCTCTGATGACCAGCAGCACAGCAATATACACTTAAAAAAAACTAGTTTCTAAACAACTTAGTCCCCCAGTGCTAAGAATCTATGGAAGCTACCTGATTTTGAAAATAAATCCAAATGATTGCTTCCTTTTTGAGGGGCAGGGTGTTGGTGATGGGGCTTGAACTGAGTGCCTGGGGGCTGTCACTAACTCTTTTTGCTCAAGGCTAATGCTCTACCACTTGGCCACATTACTACTTCAGGTTTTTTGGTGGATAATTGGAGGTAAGAGTCTCAGACTTTCTTTCCCAGGCTGGCTTTGAACACCAATCCTCAGGTCTCATCTCCTGAATAGCTGGGATTACAGGCATGAGCCACCAGTGCCTGGTGTTTGCCTTTTACATCTATCTATCCAAGCCTAATTTCTCAGTAACCCTTTGGACACACCAGGGTTCAACTCCCAGTGCTATGTGCAGACAAGTTCATGCTCAGGATCCCTTCAATCCTCTGCAGAAGGAAAAGGCCTTCATAATTCCTATAGCTTAAAGGTTTATGTCTCCCTAAATTTATAAGTTGGACTTCTAGCCTCCATAATAGTATTATGTGGGGGCTCCTAAATAGCAATTAGATCAAGAGAACAGCGCCTTCATGAATATGGTTTGTCCCCCAAAATAAACAAATCGGTTAAACATGGCACCTTGAATCCTACCTGCAATCTCATCATTTGAAACTAAAGCAGGAAGATTGAGATTTTGAGGGCATGCTGGTCTACTTAACAAGACCCTGTAACATTTTTCAAAAAATAAAAAGGGAAGGGCAAGGGACGGGAGGGAAAATTGAAAACAAACTCGATTCCAAGGAACTCATTTGCCGATTATACCAGTAAGGACACAGTAGGAAGGTACCAGCTACAAAGCACAAAGCAAGCCTTCATCAGACACCGAATCTTCTACTAGAAACATGATTTTGGACACTCTAACTTCCAGAACTGTAAGAAATGAATTAATGTTTATAAACCACCCAGTTTTAGGTGGTTTTTCTTTATAGTAGCCAAATGGACTAACTGTGCTCTTTGAACTACATCTCCCTTCTAACCTCATCATAAGGACTTCCTTTAAAAGCTAATTAATATTCCCAGTCTCAGTGCTCTTTTATAGAAATAGTTATCCCCAAAACAAGGGGGATCATTTACCCTTAGTAAGTCAAAACACTGTTTAATTGCTTACTTGGCATTCTTCCGGTCTTCCAAGGCAGAGGTGTCAACACATAGCCATCTTTATAAGCAATAATGGTTAAGCTTAGGCCTAATTTATAGGGCACTTTTATCAACACTGCTCCATTGTTTTTAGTTACTGTGGAGTTGGTCTTCGTGTAGTTTACAAATACTTCGACAACTGCTTGACTCAGGTACTGACGGCTGATGATGTCATTCACCTGGACTTTCAGCATAAACACAGACACTGGAAGAGAAAAAGTTAGGAATTGGAATATATCACTTGAAAGTACACCACTATCCTTGAAGAGTCATTAAACACATGTGAGTAACAGGGCACATTGTTTTTAAATTTAGAAAATATATAGCTATGGATGGATGAAAAAAAAGCTAAGAATGTTCTCATAAATTCATTTTCCTTCCTAAAACTACAAACACTTATTTATTATTTAATAATCATTTTACTGTTAATTTTTTCCTACCAATTTAAGAGAAGAAAGTAGACTAGTGAAAAACAAAAGGGAGTTTTCCTCCTCAAGAAAACATATTTCCACTCTGTCTTGTTTATTCTAATGCTATCAAGTTATCCAGATTTAATACTAATTTCAAACATAGTCTAAGACCTTAAAATAGTCATCTAAATAAACCTGTGAATGCATAGCTAGTACATTTATTTTCTTTTATTGTCTGGAAAGCAGTTCCAAGTATACAAAATAATCAAACATGTTTTTCTCTATAATATTAGAAAGCCTTACATATCAACTATATGAGAAAACATACATTGGAGGAAAAAAAGTTAAGGCTGATTTTTGCTTAACTCTTATAGTCTTACTCCTCAAGCACAAACTTGACAATGGACTCGGTAGATTTACCAATAATTACATCAGGTGAAAAAAAAAGAATTTATACTATCAAGAACTTATGCAATCAAGCACAGTAACATCTTTGCAAAGATGTCTTCTCCCCTGTAAGTGAGATGTGGCCTAAGTCAAGAGCAAGCTAAGAGTCAGGCGCCAGTAGCTCACACCTGTAATCCTAGCTACTCAAGAGGCTGAGATGCCTTGTCTGTTCTAAATTTGTTAAACTGAATCTTAAAATTTTTTGCATCATAATGAAGACATTTTAAATACAAATAAAATCAATTAATAAACTTTTGGTACCAGCTAAGGTAAAATTAACACACACACATACACACAAAACTGATCCTTTCAAGAGTTCAAAAATGAGGTTTAATATTATGCAACTAAAATTAACTAGAATGCCTTACTGTGAATGTGGTTGAGAAGTTTATTCTTACATGACATCAGTTAAAAAGAAAAGTATCCCCTGGCCATGGCCCCCCACACACAAACACACATGCACACATGCAGGCCAATCATGGCCTCAAACTCTTAGGCAAACAAAGCCCAGAAGGCTGTAATATGCATGACATGAAGGGCCCCTAAGGTAAATGTAGTTAATGGGTCCGTATTACATAAAAACCATGATTGCAAAGGATCATAGTACCTGCTGTTCAAAGAATTACTCCCACCAATACAACCCCTTGTCCTCAAACCAATAAAATGTATATAAAATACATGTGGTAGTCAATCAGAGTCAATCAGGGGGCTCAACACTCAAGAACTTATGCAAAGATACACACAGAGAAAATAGTTGTTGGAACTAAACTACAGAAGAAAGACTATGAGCTCCTACTCATTGTGACACCAGCCCTACACTAGTCCCTCTCTGGCCACTGTGATACCAGCACTGCCCTGCCCCCTCTCCTCCCACTGTGATATCAGCATTGTCCTAGACCTGCTCCTCCCACTGTGATATCAGCACTGCCCTACTTCTTTCTACCCACTTTGACAGCAGAGCTGCCCCGGATCCTCTCTTCCCACTGTGACCTCAGCACTGTACCAGTCCCTCTCTACCAAGTGTGACCTCTCTACCAAGCACTGCCCTAGTCTTTCTGCTCTCACTGTGACACCGACACTGCTCTAGTCTCTCTCCTCCCACCATAACATCAGCACTGTTCTAATCCATCTCCTCCACGGTGACATGAGCACTGCACTAGACCCTCTCCTCCCATTGTGACATGAGCACCGTACTCCACCCAGAGACTAGTTTGTGCATCCTCCCTGACTGATCTGGGAGGTCTGTTATAACTCTTCCTGTGAAGTGGCTTGAATATATCCAGCTTCAGTTCTTTCACTATTATCTTAAGCAAGTGCATTCAATGATACAGAGAACAACTGTAAGTGGGGGGTGGAGGAATTTTTTCAATAGGCTAGTCTATATTCTTTTTTTGTTTGTTTTGTCAGTTGTGGGGCTTAAACTCAGGGCCTGGGCCCTGTCCCTGAGCTCTTTCACTCAAGGCTAATGCTCTACCACTTGAGCCACAGAGCCACTTCCAGTTTTCTGGTGGCTAGTTGCAGATAACGGTCCTGCCTGGACTGACACTGAACCACAGTCCTCAGATCTCAGCCTCCTAAGTAGCTAGGATTACAGGTGTGAACCACTGGCACCCAGGTTACATTCTTAAAAGAAAATAAAGGAAGTTGTATGGCTCCAGTGGCTGGCTGTTTGCTTTGCTTGTGCCTTGTTCAATCCCCTGTACAGCAAAAAAAGACAAAAAGTATTAAATACAAAGAATGTGATAATCCATAGGAGAGGGAGATTGCATATGACTCAAAGGAATTTAGTATTCAAATTTACTAATAGAAAAAATTTTGCTAATAGATTCATTCAATCCAATGCCCCTAAAATAGTTGCCTCAATTGCTTGGTTTTCCTCATTTTGGTAGTTAAATGTGCTGATAAATCTATATTTAAACACATTGAGTGGTAAGCAAGCAATTACAAATAAATTGACTGAAGTACAGTACACTCTATGGAGAGCTCAAATAGTATAATTCTTTACAAAGACTAAACCAAAGCTGAACAAAATAAGTTGCAGCAAAGAGGTACTGGCAAGAGAGGGAGTGGGGCCAAGGTGTGAGAGGCAGACGAATGAAGAAGGAAAGGGGGGAAAATACAGTCAACAATTCACTATATATACCACAAAATAAGAAATAAAAAAGGAGTGTATCAGAGGGGGGGCTAAAATGTTGAAGGGACAACAAATTAAGATTTATTGTATACATAAACTGCTTTGTTAAATGGCAAAAAATAACACAAATCTTAAAAATTAAGAAAAATGAGAGAAGGGGTGGATTGGAAGGGGTGGGGAGAATGTGAAAGAGGTGACATTGATCAAGATGTATGGTATCATAAACTACATTGAATGGCAACTCCTTTGAACAACTACTTAAAGATAATAAAATATTTTTGAAGTGTATTAAGAAACATGTCTTATTTCAGTTAATACACATGCATACATGAGATCTCAAATAATGTAATTCCTTAGAAAGGCAAAAGCAAAGTTTGGCAAAATACAACACCAAGAAGGTACTCAAAAGGGGTCAAGGGGAAAAGATAGACAAATGAAGAGGAGAGGAAGGGGAGAATGCAGTTAAAAATCCATTGTATATCCTACAAAATTAACAGTAATGATGGAAGGGGCAGATAAGGGAGGGATGGGTGAGAATGTTGAAAGGGGTTACATTGATCAAGATATATTGTATTCATAAACTGTTAAATGAAATCTCCTGTGTACAACTACTTAATTATAATAATCAAAAGGAAAACAATGAGTCTTAATGGGGATACTTTTTTAATTCATTTGCTTCAAACATCAATTTCAGAAATTCTCACAGCCTTTAGATTTTCAGACATCCCAATGTGTGATTAAGTGCTTCAGTATAATTCATGTAACAACTGAAAGTTTCATCCGTCTCATTCTTGACAAGAATAGCTGCTAAAAGAAGACACACTCTAACTTTCTGACAATCTGAAGTTTGATACAGAAAATGTTTTCAAATATCTCCTAATTCAGAATAGATGGTTTCATGTTTTTCACATTCAATAACCACGTTAGACATTCGATGAGCAAAATATCTGCAGGGGTATTTCAACCATCAAATCAGAGTCTTCCTCTCTGCTAAGGTACTGCCTTCATTCACTTGGGACTCTGTACAGTGACTGCCCACCCAGAAGGGTTCTATTTTACTTGGGAAAACACCAGCCTACTTTGGTCTTGCAATTATTTCTTTCCCAGTCCTACTTGATAGAAAATGACATAAAACACAAATTATATATATATATATACACACATATGCTTTCTGTAACACACCAAGGCTAGTGTTGTAACTGTATGTTTTCCAATTTCATCCTAATAAGTCTAGAAGCTAAAATTAAACATACAATGAGTTTCTCCAAATCCACACTTTACTTGAATGTGGAGAGAATGTTATCATATTTACTAATGTATTTTCTTTCCATCAAAGCTAAAAGGCTGAGTTTTTGCCTACACCTATATGATGTGTCTCTCACCTTGGCACAGACCAGAACAAAAGCAACATTAAAAAATTTATTTTTTAATCCAGCCTGAAAGACTAAACAAAATATTTAAATAGACAAGAATGATTCCTTTTCTTCACATGAGAAAGTTATAAACAAACCAAGCATCAGTGGTTCACATCTGTAATCCTAGCAACTCAAGAAGTTGAGATCTGAGGTCTGTGGTTCAAAGCCAGCCCAGGCAGAAAAGTTCATGAGATTCTTATCTCCAATTAACCATCAAAAAATTGGAAATGGAGGTATGGCTCAAGTGATAGAGTACAAGCCTTGAAAGAAAAAGCTCATGTACTAGTACAAATAATTTTTTAAGTTATAAAGAACTTCCTGCTTCATGTGTAAACAGGATATTCTGACTTTAACAGTCTGTTCAGGCCAAGAGCACAGGCAAGAAAAGAAGCACTTGGTAACCAGAGTAATTTAGCTACACTCCTTTGGAGTTCTGTCCTCCAACACAAATACTTTGGTATTTACACAAGGCAGATCCCATGATTAATTATGTGAATTTTCAACCAGAGGTGCAATTGTCTCCATCATCTACCTTCTCCTCTCCGTTGTATTTTTCAACTTTCTATGAACATATTATTTTCTCTGTCACTTAATTATAATCATTATGTCCTGCCTACATAATCTTCTTTTCAATGTCACCATTGGTTTAAAAATGGTTCAATATCAAATGATGTCAAGTGTACCCTTAGAAAACATATAATTTAAACATTCAAAGAAACATGTAAAAATAAAATACATATCAATGAGCTAGGTCCTGAGGTTGCTGGTTATGATTTTTTCACATGGTTTGAAGAAGCAT